AAAAGCAACGTGCGTGCAACATTAAGAATTTAATGATGCTTGTGATAGCTAGGGTGTGTAGGTGCATGAGTACCATTGCATTATCCCTTCATTACTAAAGATAAAATCTAGCAAGATAGAACTCTGAAACTTTGGGCTATTAATGTTTGATTCTATAGTGTGAATGGTCTTCCCAATTTGGTTGCTGTTCTGGCTGGCCCACTTTACAAGCTCATCAGTTGGGTTCACTCTTAAAAAGCCCACATCTAGAATCTTTTAAAGGGGCACCTATGGCAAGCTATAAAGGCTCACTACTGGAATATTACCCTTCCTCTGCACTGCTACTCCCGTTAGGGGTGTGCATGGAGCGGTTCATAACCGGTTTTGACAAAAATTGAACCGAACTAGTTTTAAAAGATTTGGTGTACAAATTGAACCAGTTTTCATATTTTAAAACTGGTTTTTAATTTTCCAAAACAATTTGAAACCAGTTCCAAAACCGGTTTATGGTTCATAATCGCTTTTTGATTTAAAATCGATTTTAAACTGGTTTTAATTCAAACCGATTTTAAATCAAAATCGGTTATGAATCATAAACCGGTTATCAAGTTCAAAACTGGTTTTATAACAAATTCAAAATCGGTTTTTGATGAGATGTGCTATTTTTATAAGTATTTGTTTGTTTCTCCCGGTTATAGGTAGTTGGCCAATTATTTCTTGCAAGAATCTTCATTGTTTTGGAACTCTCTGGACGAAATGATTCTTATAGAAATTGCTTCATGTTGTTTTGAGAGTGATTGGTAGAAGAACAATTGAATTATTTTAAATTTTAAAAAAAATTGCTCTTCATTCTCTTAAGATTTATGTTACTAAGAGTTTCATTTGAACTGATAGAGTAAGGTATGGGAGCTGCATATGGCACCACAAAGAGTGGTGTGGATGTGGCTTTAGATCAGTGGCGAAAAGCAGCTGAAGCAACTGCATCTATGATTTCTACAGGAAGCAATGGAAAATTTGTAGAGAGAAGCAATTCACTTCATAGCAGTTTCAATTCTATCACTGGCAAGATGATGAATTCACCTTATTACAAAGACACAGATGATGACTCACCAAAAAAGGAAAATACAAACATATTGAAGAAGATTGGAGTTTTATGGGAAAAAAACCATCACTAAGCACATGTGGCCCAAGTATTCTTTCACTGCATAAACCTGTCAGCCAAAGCGGATTTACTTATTTGTTCTTTAATTGTAGAGCAGTTTGGTTATGGATAACCAATTATTTTTATGGTTTGTTTAATAACCAGTTTATAAAATAAAATGCAATTTCATATAAAATTGATTTTTAAAAATAACTATTTTTTAAAATGTGGAGCAGTTTAGTTATGGATTGGTTTAGTTCTTTTGAATATTTTGAACACCCTTAGCCCCTGTACACTGAAAGTGGACAACATGTCTTGTCTCCTTGACAAGACAAGGCTTAGTAAGACAGCTTATGGGATTGACTCGTTTATGGGGGCTCCCAATCTGGAGAATGACTCCCTATCACTAAATACCCCTATTCACCATGGAATGAGGGCGGGGTCTCTCCTACTGAACTCCATGCTGTTACTCTGCCACAATGGAGAATTGCCTAGCCTCTTACACACACTCCCTCTTGATGCACAATATATGGGAAGTTTCTACTGGGCTTTGGTCTCTACCATTGTCTCTTTGAGCACCTCTATATTAACATACTTCACCCTTCATGTGACACATTTATATACCACCGTCGGTACAGTTGTTAACCAGGTTTACAAAACGTATGAGGATCGTTAAGACCTCATTTTTTGCGGTCAAGAGAAAAATTTAGATTGCAGACTATAATCATCAAGAATAACTGAGCACATGTAAGAAAGGTTTGCCTATATCGCCCCAAACATCACATTGGACAATATGAAAACAAGTGAGGGGATTTTTTAATTATAATATGGAGATATCCCCATTCAACCTCCTTTGGTCAGCTTGTCTTCGGAGTACGGTTCCGAAGACTACCCTTTCATTAGGACAACGAGTGTATTAAGCTTCACCATCAGAAAAAGGACGAGACTAATTTCCTATTCAAGAAGAGAAGCATGTCCGGGATCTTTAAGTTAATATGAAGAAAAAAAAAATTCTACTATTTATAAAAAATAAATAAATTTTGAGTGAGAATTACCTTCAAATTATGATTATACGTGTACTTACATTTTGGCTATTGTATGAGGTTGCGAATCAAACACTCAACTTCTATTTGTAGTTTGTAGTTTGTTTGTTTGTTTTTTTTTAATTTTTCTTGCTTATTACTAAGATTGATTCCATTTTAAGTTGAACATCACAGCTAACAGCTTCGTGTTTTGCGGTGAGTGATGATAAATAAAGCAGCAAAACATTAGATCATCTCCAAGAGGTGCAAACATGACAACAGTGCCATGACAAAAATGCTAAATTTCCTAATCAACATAAACAAGAAAGGGAGAAAATCTTATTATTAATTTATTATTGATGAAGGACCACTAGTGAAACTGTGAAAGTGATGCTGGGTCAACCCGAAATTGGGATTACGCGCATCCTTCTCTATATAATAATAGTTCAATTGGAACAACAAACAAAGAATCAGCACGCAATCACTTCATCCTATTGTTATTATTTTGTCGCAGGAGATAAATATAATTTTTTACACATATATAAAAGTAGATAAAGTTTATATAACGAAAAAAAAATATGAATTTCACATATTTTTTTGTGTGTATAGAAAATAAATTTTTTTCTTATTATATAAGAAATAATAAATCCTATTATTTTATAGAAAAAATTATATTTACAAATTTTTTGTTTACAAACTTTTATAAACTATACTATGTACTAGGGATAGTACATTGTGCAGCACATAATGTACCACCTCTAATACATAGTATAGTTTGTAAGAGTTTATAAATATTTTTTATAAATGTAACCCTCCTATATTTTATATCCTAAGAAATAAATTTTTTGATTAACCAAAACGTATATATTGATATTTTATAAGTATGTTTTTTAAAGATTTTTTTTTATTTTTTTTTATAGCATGCGTAATACCCATAATTTGTTTTTGGATACATACCCATAAACTTTTAGTACATGAGAACTCTATTCATTAAAGCAGAGACTTATAACATTTACTTCGCGTGTTTTTAATTTTAACAAGGAAGTATGTGTTTTTAATTTAATACGCAATACTAAAAATTTACTCGCATGATGCGGTAATATATATCAATAAGTATTGTTGAGATATATAGTTCCACATTGATTGGATGTGTAACTAATATGACCCTTTATAAGGCTTTGGGCACTTCCACGTTCCACCCCTTGAGCTAGCTTTTGGAGTGGTGTATCTCAAGGTTCTTTACATGGTATCAGAGCCTCACCGTCTCCCGCTTTAAAAAAAGTGGAATTAAAATAAAAAAAAGCACAAAAAGGTAAACAAAAAATGGGCTTGTGCAATTTCCACGTTTCTAGCCTAAAGGGCTCTTGCGTGAGGGGGCGTGTTGAGATATATAGTTCCACGTTGATTGGATGGGTAACTAATATGGCCTTTATAAGGCCTTGGACACTTCCACCCCTTGAGCTAGCTTTTTGGGTGGTGTATCCCAAGGTTCTTTACAAGTACATTGTAAATTTGTAATTATATATAAAAAAGAAAGAAAATACATTGTAAAAATATGTTAGTGAGTCTTAAAGAATTAATTTTTTTTAATATTTAACGAGGGATTAAAATGGTGGGAAAAACTTGAAATCATAACTTGATCTGTTTATATCCGATTAGAAATTAATGTTGAATCAACCGAAACCGGTCGAAATTTAAAAAACTTCAAAACACACGAGACTATTTTTTGCACACTAGATATGAAAGGAGTTTCTTGTCTTTTAATAATATCTTTAACTTAAATATAATTTATGGTGATAGGTTATACTTAATAATTTTTTTGTTATGGTTAAATAAATAACTGTTGATTTTATTTTAATTTAATAATAAAAAAGTGATAATAAATTGTAGGGAAAGTTATATTCACAATTTCTTTTCTCTTACAATCATTTTTATTATTGTTGATCAAAAATCAAATCAATGTCTCTCATTTGATATTATTTTGTAATCGTTAATTTAATTTTAATTCAACAATAATAAAAGTAATTGTAAGGATAAAGATGTTGTAAATATAATTTCTTTCTAAATTATAAGGAGAAATTATATTTATAATTTTTAATAGCCTTTTATAATTATTTTTTATCTGTAAATTAAAATAAATCAATTATTCTTAATAATATTATTTTATAATCATTAATTTAATTTTGATTAAGATAAAAAAAATTATAAATAAAAACAAGGGGAAAGATATTGTAACAACCAAGTTATGTTATTACCATGTTACTATCAATCAATCTCATCGTTAGATGGATTATGTTGATCCAACAGTTATATTTATTTTCATCTTTGTATGGTTATGATTCCCAATATTTAAAATGAAAGCATTAAATATGGGAAATCATAACAATACAAAAGTAGAAATAAATATAAAGTATTAAATTTGGAAAATCATTACCATACAAAGATGAAAGTAAATATAACCGTTGCATCCACATAATCGATCTAACGGTAAAATTGATTAGTAGTAATTTAGTAGTAACATAACTTAGTTGTTACAGTACCCTTCCCTAAAAACAAATGTAAACATTAATCTCGCAAATTTCGTCTTTGCCACAGGAGTCTATCTTTGTGGTCTCTTTGCTCCGTTAAAATTGTTGCTTCAGACAAATGCTGTCATGTTAGAAAAAGAATGAGATAATTTTTGTTTTTCTGGTTTGGTTAGTTTTTATTTTGTTTTATTTTATTTTACAGTTTGCTGATTTGTTTTTTCAGTTTCATGTATAAAAAACGAAAATAATCTCCCAAATGCTAAGTATAGCATCCCAGTTATTTATATTATTTATTATTATTAAAATGGAAAAAACATATAACGTTGGCCAATTGCAAACGACTGTTACTTCGTCTTGGTCTGAGACAGCGATTTCACTTTTGGGTTTTAGAGAGAGAAAGCAAAACAGAGAGCACAGAAATGGAACGATTCGTGTTATGAAGGAATCAATTCACAAATTCACACTCACAACACCAAATAGCAGAAAGAGAGACACTTCCATACACACACACACGCACACATATATACTCTTCCTCTTGTGTTTGTGTTTGTGATTGTGATTGATTGATTGTGCATGGTTTCCACTGATTCTTTCCTTTGCCCTAGATCTTTCAACGCCCATTCAGTTCTCTTCTTCTAAGAGATCTTTCGATTTACGTGAATCTTCGATCTTCATCCTTACAGGTACCACCACTCATTTCTCACTGCTTTTACACAGAAAAATAGATAGGATTTTTTATTTGAAATTGTTCTCGTTTAATTGTGTGGTTATGGAATTTTTTTTTTTTTTTGAATAAATTAGGTGAGATTGCTTAGTGTTTTGCAAGTTGTTTCAATTTCAATCTCTGTTTCACTATTTTCTCGATAACCAAACAGGTTGTTTTGGATTTGAATTTTTACCGGGTCTTGGTTTGGATGGATACTCATGTGGTGCTGAGTTCAGCTACTTGTACTCTTTGGAAATGAAGAAATGTGTATTGAGGCTTTTTTAGCTGTTGGGTTACTCCAAAACATTGAATTGATTGGTTGTGTTGTATTTATTTATAAGATGAAATGTTTGCTTATGCTTAGTATCTTTCATGTTTCGAATATTCCCTTTTCTGACTGCTAACTGTTGTCTTGTTTGGTTACTCTGGAAAGGTATGCTGGGTATGGGGTTTGTTATATGATTTTAGGTTTTAGAGTTGCATCCATTTCTCTCTTTGAACATGGGGTTCGTCATCTATTATTCTTACCTTGCCCATCCTTATGATCTAGGAACTTGGACTTCGTGGGATCATAGTGGAGTTGTGAGTTTTGTATATATATATATTTTTCTATTTTAAATGTTAATGAAGTATCACTTTGCTTATAATCGGTTTTGGACAATCGCATGTGATTTTAGATTTAACCTTACAGATCAGTGTCTCCTCCTCACTACTTTGATGGCTAGTCTGTTAGGATTGTCTAATGGATATTCAGATATTTTGATCTCTGCATCTATTGCTTGAAGTTGGGAACTTGTAATCCAATTATTTTTTTTTGTTCTATGAATTATGTGGGGTTGAACATTGTGTCTAAAATTTGTTTCTGATAGAATCTGGAGTTATTGCTGTCAATGTTATGGTTTCTTTCCCTTTTTGTATGGCATGCACCATGCATATCTGTCTGGGTCTGGATGCAAGTTGATTTGAATGGTTGTCATGTTTGCTAATGTATTTTCCTTTTGTGTTTTGATTTCAGATTTTTCTGCATCAATCCGTTGAAGATTTCTTGTAGCTTATTTTTCTTGATTTCATGTGTGCTCGATGAGTGCTGATTATGCGTGGAGATTTGTTGGGGGTGAAAATTGTGATTCATTTTAATAGATGAAGACAGAAAAAGGTTGGCGTCTAGGCCTGAGTGATATGCAGATCATGCCTGGGTCTCGGCCCCGTCCTCCCATGAAGAAGCCAATGTGGATTATTGTCTTGGTTTTATTTGTGTGTGTGTTTCTAATATGTGCTTATATTTACCCACCAAAAAGCAGTTCAGCTTGCTACGTCTTTACTTCTAGAGGGTGCAAGGCTATTGCTGATTGGCTTCCGCCTGCTCCTGCAAGGCAATACACAGATGATGAGATTGCATCACATGTTGTTATTAGCGATATTTTGAACGCACCGCAAATTCTTCCAAAAAAACCAAAAATTGCCTTCATGTTTTTGTCACCTGGTTCTCTACCATTTGAAAAATTGTGGGATAAGTTTTTCCAAGTAAGAATTTGTAACTGGTCTATTTTATTTGTTATTATTATTTAATTATTTTGATGCATTTTATCAGTGCTAGGTGAAGAAGCATCAGGTTGTTAGGACTTGAGACTTGATAGAATTTGTAAATTTCATTCCTTTTGTTGGGATAGTGAGATGGAATTGGAAGGATAAACAAGGGTAGTAGTTTACACTCTTAGCTGAGTACTGAACAAGTGCTTTGCATGAAATTTGTTGGTGGTTTTTCTTCTTCTAGGGGATGAGAGGCAAAGAGTTAATTGTTGATTTAGCTTAATTGGATTTGAAGGTCCATTTTAAAATTAAATAATATATAAAATTGCATTTGAAAGCAATGGATAGTGTTGTACATACCCAAGTTGGATATTGTTGCCTTGGGTGCTTAGTTGAAAGTACTATTTTGGTTTTGTATTTGAGCCTAGAAATATTAATTTGCATAAATAGACAACAGAGGATGTGAAATATGTTTTACACATAAATTCTTGATAAATGTATGATACAATGATCAGCTTCGTTTGTATTTCCAATTTCATTGATTGGTTGTCTTTTCTTCCTACTCATGTTCATATTTAGTGTGTACTTACCTGGAAGAATGCTCTTTTCCTTTTTGGCAGGGTCATGAAGGGAAATTCTCTGTGTATGTGCATGCATCTAAGACTAAACCAGTTCATGTGAGCCGTTATTTTGTTAATCGGGATATACACAGTGACCAGGTGCATAACATGTCTTGTAATTGTTCAGTTTACTATAATCTGTCAATTGTATCATCTTGTATGTTTATGTTCTTTAATGAAAATTGTTGTTTAAATGTATGTGACTTCTTGTTTTTCCTCTTTAATTTGTGTTTTATTTGCACCCTCTAAAGTAATGAACGAAGTGAACCTCCTACTTTAGAGGACCTAAATATAAATGAAACCAAGCCTCCTTTGGACTTATTATCGACTTGAGAGATCAACAGGGAAACTATTTAATACACTTGTCTTGGAATATAATGTTGTAGTAGGTACATCGGACTGGTCATCTTGGATGCCAATATTTTGCATTGGTAATTTAAAGCCCTAAATTCACTCTTTCTTTCTTGCTAACTGGAAATGAGATTTGGGATTACAGTGTATTTGTTTACTTTACCTTAGAAGTCTAACATAATGTTAGAAGCCAGCTAGTTCAGTGTGGTTTGACATGTGTATATCTACTCTTTTTTCTTTTCTTTTTTTGTAGAATGCTTCATCAATATATCCCGTTTTCATTCATTGGTATTTTTTTTTTTTTTTTGCTTTTATGAAATAATTTCTGAATGTATTTTTAAGTTACACTATCTGTTCTAAAAGTAGCAATAGTGGTAGCAAGTGCAACTATCAGTTGTTTCCAATAATATGTGGTTTTCTAGTTAGTGGCTGATCTGTTGCCTTATTGTAGGTGGTGTGGGGGAAAATTTCTATGGTTGATGCTGAGAGACGACTACTGGCAAATGCCCTACAAGATCCTGATAACCAGCAATTTGTATTACTTTCTGATAGGTAAATGGTCTATGAGATTACTATTAATTCTGTTCTTATTGCTAAGTAATTTGCATTATTTTATTAATTTTAGTTTCTGATCTTTTTATATTGGTTTTGCAGCTGTGTGCCACTATATAATTTTGATTATATTTTTGATTATCTGATGTATACAAATATCAGCTTTGTAGACTGGTACGTCATGCTTTGGATGGTGTATACCTGTGTGTGTGTGTTTTTTTTTTAGAGTTGGTTGTTCTTCTGGTCTCTGCTTTCTGTTATCAATTTGGTGTCCTTGACTTATACACCCTTCCGTTTTTCTTATTAGCTTTAGGGATCCTGGTCCTCATGGCAATGGCAGGTATTCAGAGCGCATGTTACCTGAAGTTGAGATGAAGGACTTTAGAAAGGGTGCACAGGTATATTTTTTCTTAAATCTTCTCGCTGCTGCTTGCTAGGAATTCAGTATTTTAAAAAGAAACTTGCTTATTATTATACAAAGAATGTGGAATTTGAACCTAGTATTTAGGCTACTTTATTTTGCAATTGCACCTTTTCACAAGATAACAGTTGGATAAATGGAGGTAGCCATGATTTATGTCAATAGGCTTTACTAGTGCGTTAGCTGCAACACATGGTAGTATTCGAGTCGAGTCTTTTATTTTAAAATATAGTGGTGAATAGATTCTCTATGTTACAGAAGTAATTCTTTGTTCTTGCCTGAATACCCCACTTCCTTTTACTTTTCTATAGTGCGATCTGCGTCATACTGCGATTCAATGTCACCAAACACCCATTTGTAACGTGATTGTATTCATAAAATATTAATGTGTAGCTCATTTAAATGTCATCTATTTAGATGTCCCTGTTTCATTGTTAAATTCCTCATGCAGTGGTTTTCTATGAAGCGGCAGCATGCTGTTATAGTTATGGCTGACAACCTGTATTACTCAAAATTTCGGGCTCACTGTCAGGTGTAGTTATTAAATATTGTTGCTAGTCAAATTCAAAACATTTTTCTTTTATTTATCCTTTTTAATATTTTAGTAATTTTCTTAAGTTTTTTATTTAAACATATTTGCTTTAAACTGGCACAGTCATCAAACCAAGCTAGTTTAGTATTTTATTTTTAGGTTCAAGATGCGGGCTTATTCACTATGTGCCTTTTGTATATGATTAAAAACCATATTTCCCTCATGTACAACCTTTTGGTCACACAAGAGCACAGGCTTGTCCTCATTCTCTTGCATTTGATTTCCTTAATAATTTTTTTATGCAATATATGTATTCTGCATTAAGTTCCTTCTTCCCATAATGATGGTGTATTGAATCAATTTTCTCCAAAATATGTAGTGAAAACTTGATGCAAGGTTTAACTTGAAAATGCTAGCTTTATTCCTATTTTACCCTTACGAAAAGAAAAGCATCAGTGGTACTACACTTTAACAGAGATGGGCATAAGAGGATTATGTGTGCAACACTCAGTGAATAAATGTTGTTGTGATTTTGCATTCTTTGTTTTACCTGAATTTTTGTATCATCATGTACATTTACATGATAAAAATTTAAGCTTTAGCCTACTGTTATATTCCTTCCCTTGAAAGAAGTGTTTATTTCTTCTTTTTTCTCGATCATAAAGAATTGGATTCATTAGAAAAATTGTTTTTTTTACTGTAATTAAAAAAAAAAAATGGAAAATTTATCATATTGAAAAACTATGAAAGCCGACCTTCTGCATTCACTTCCTTATTTAAGAAATTTCATATTTAATATATTACAGTTTGTAATTTGTATGCAGTTTTTATGCTTTTCTGTACAACTTTCTTATCGTCTTAGTTAGTACTTAAAAAATTCGATTTTTTTTCCAACCTGCATATCACGTGTGCCTCTTCTATTGATGTTCAGAATGTTATAAACTAGATATGCACTGCTGCTCAAACTAGAAAAGAAACATCTTATCGTGGCAGGCAAGGTTTTAATCCATGTAAAATTTGAGTTTTAGTTTGTGTCCCTTGTTTTTTAAAAGTGAAAACTTTTGGTCCTTGTTGTTACATAGATTCATCAAGTGTCCACTAGTGAAACAGATTCCCAATTCACTGTTAAGTGACACATCAGCATTTAACAGGTTTATGATAATGGCAGAGATCAAAAGTGCTCACTATTAAAAAATAAGGGATACAAACCGAAAATCAAGAATTAGAGAAGCTAAAACCAAACTTTGGTATAATAATAGGGACAAAAAACATATTTATACCTATTTATGTATATAGTCGAATGTCTACAAGTATGAATTTAATAATTTTTAAACTTTTAATGTGATTATTCTTGATATTACAGCCAGGTTTGGAAGGGAAAAATTGCATTGCTGATGAGCATTACTTACCTACCTTCTTCCAGGTGAGAATTTCAATTGTAATACAAGTATTTTGAACAGTTTTCAACTGTCAGCTAATGGCTTACGTTTCTGTTTTAGATTGTCGATCCTGGTGGAATTGCAAACTGGTCAGTAACTCATGTTGACTGGTCTGAGAGAAAATGGCATCCAAAATCTTATAGGGCTCAGGATGTTACGTATGAGCTTTTGAGAAATATTACGGTATAGTGCTACTATAACTGTAACTTATGCAATAAACAATATGCTTTTTTTTTTATACTGAAAGAGGTGGCATCTGTGATGTGGGTGTAATGAGAAAATCCGATCTCATTTTAGGCATGACATTGTTCTCTCTTTTTGAAATCTTAAAAATGAATATAAACTTTTGAATGGTAGCATTTTAAAAGATTCCTAAAATATAGCAGGGAGTGTAAGTTGGGAATTTGTGGTTAGACCATTTTTTCCTCTTTTATTTTTAGTAAAAATGAAGGGAAATATTACTCTCCTTTCACATAAGACAACTTCTCTCATTTTTTCTCACTTCGATTTTCGCACCCCACATTTTTCTTTTTCTTTTTTTTCTTGTAATGGTGAGACTCACCTATTTTCTCTCTACAACATAAGATAATTATCTTATGTCAAAGGAGATTAATAAAATCCAAAAATGAAACATTGGACTTTTGGGAATTAAAAAAATGACATTATGTGGAAGATTCTCCTTGATATGATAGTGTAGCCTGTATCTTTAAATATGCAAGTTTGTTTATATGATTATCTTCAATTATTTATGAAGTTGTCAAGAGTACAGGAAGTCTCGTCAAGTTGGCGTATTTTGATTCTTTGTATATGTTCTCAGCGTCTTTTGTAGTTCTTCCTGCCACCAATTGTGTTATGTAGTACAGTCATGACATTTGAGCAACTTCTTGAAGCTTCCCTTTTTGCATTGTATGAAAAAAATGGATGAATATCTTCTTTACTTGTCGAATTGCTTTTTAAATTTGTTTTCAAGTTGAGCTCATGGAAATTTATAATAACTCCATTATATTTGCAGTCCATTGACGTTAGTGTGCACGTCACTAGTGATGAGAAGGTATGCTATCTGAGAGCTCTTCTGATCCTAATTTGTTGAAAATGCATTAAGCAACTTAACATATTATCATGTGTTGCTACAGAGAGAAGTGCAAAGATGGCCCTGCTTAAGGAATGGGATTCAGAAGCCATGTTACCTATTTGCTAGGAAATTCACTCATGGAGCACTGGACAGTTTATTGCATCTTTTGTCTAATTATTCATCACCTTGAGCCAGTAATTTTTGATCAATTCTTTGGTCGGATCAGTTGTTGCTTTCGGCCCCCATCTTGGTTTTCCATAGGGCACGAATTATTGAGGCTTGATTGCCTGCCAGCCGCAGATATTGAGTGCAAGGCTAAGTACTGGCATTACAGCTATGGTGGCCTTATGTATGCACAGGAGGCTAAGATTTAGTGTTGCTTCCTTGGGATCTGAGAGCTTGACTTATTCCCCACCTTCCATTATGGGGTTATTAAAGATTTTTAATTGCATTACAAATTTGGGGGACTCATCAACTCATATTGTGGTTGTTGGTCTTTGTAAAACTTCCAAATTGTTTAGCTGAAAAATACGCATGTTAGAAATTCATGGGTCAATTCTTGTGCACAACTCTTTGATGCTAGATTGCTGGCGAATTCTTGTCAGATCTGATCCAATTTAAATTAGGGATTTGAAGTTTACTGTATCCTGGGAAGAGTAGTAGGTAGCATTACCTTGCAAGACAACTTGCTAGAGGAATGATGATAGCATTCACCGTTGTGCCAAGATTTCTTTTAATTTTCTATGGGAATGTGTAATTTATATTTTAATTTTGAAACAGTATTTTATGGATGTGTTCAACTGCAGTAGTTTTTTTATTTGCTACCTTTTACTCCTGATTCAATGGACCAAGAAACTAACAATGTGATAATCTTTCGGCCAGTGGACCAGGTTAAAAAAAACCAATATTTGTTGGTTATGTACTTCTTGAGAAATATTTTTGTTTGCTCGGGGCTGGAGTTCCTCCTTACCGGCCAAAAACTCAATAAAAATAACTTCAGCCATTATTACCACTTGCCTTCAAACTAGCTTACACGTGTTTGTTTATGTCAGTTTGATTAATTCCACCAAGTTTATTAAGCTGCGAGTTTTGGAATTAGTTCATGCGATTCTTCATCCTAATGAAAAATTAAAAATGAAGTTCATCCCATTGGATGCAATCATTTGAAATGTAAATTTCAAATTATTTTTGAATTATTAATATTTTATTAAAATATTACAAAGAAAATCAAATGCTATTTATGTAATACCCTCGATAAAATTAAAATTAAAAATTAAAATAAAATGAAATGAAAAGACATGTTGAGCTAAACTTTAGTTTCTCGATACATATATTATTAATTTTTATAGGTCATTGCAACTTTAAAATACAAAGAAAACTAGCATCACACTCCTTCAATGTTAACCATGTGCAAACCACCAAAGAAGTGTGACATTTACACTGGATTCTATTTTTATTTATTTATTTATATTTTTTTGAAGTTGTCATTGGTAGGTATAATAAATTGGTGGCATTAGGTGTGTGAAAAAAATTAGTTCACTTGCTATGCCTTTGATCTGACTTTAACCTAATCTATAAATACCTATTTTTTTTTAACTGAGTTTAATTACTGATCCACTTTTATTTGGATCAATTTTAAACCTAACTTATTTTAATAATTGACCCATTGACCCAAAACTTGATCCATACCAATTATGTGCAAAAAAAAAAAAAAAAAAAATCAGCGATTTAGGGGTTGAGGGTTCTCTCCTCTCCCATTCTCTCTCTCTCTCATTCACTTAAAATTCATTGAAATTGCAATGTTAGGGTTCTTAAAATTTGGACTGAGGTTTGCAATTGGGGCTTTCTTTTTTTAGTGTCGTAAAAGTTTTGTGAACTAGAGAGTGAACCAGACGCTCATCATATTGCAATTTGTGGATGACCACTTCTCATTAAGAAAACGTATGGAAAGATACGGTAACTATAGCCTGCTGCAATATGCTCAAGAACTATCTCTGGTTTGACTCTTCTTTTTTTATTTATTACTCATCATATTTAATCAAAATATGGGTTATAAGTTGAAAACACCGTTACTCAGCAATTTGTTTTTAGGATCACTGGATTCTTTTTTTCATACTTTAATGAATCATTGAATCATCTCTGCTTTTGTTTTTTATTTTATGGGATAATTTTATGTTTGGATTGTTTTTTTTTTAATTTATCATTAATTTGGAGTTTTTTGGTGATCCAATAAAATCATGATAATTGCTAATTGCAAATATCAATTATAAGTTAGAATTAGCTACCCATGACACTGATTACTATCATAGAATAGTAATATTAGCACTTTTTTTTTGAAGAATTGATATTTATTCAACAAATATCAATTTTATTATATAATTTATATATTTTAAAACAAATAAATAATAAAATTACTTAAGTTTAAAAATTAAATCAATAATTATAAAAAAATCAAATAAAAAAAAGTTTTGAAACAAGTAAAAAACGGGTCAGGTCAGATTTGACCCGATTTTGAAATTAAGTCAGACCCATTTTAGAAACCAAGTCAGGTAAGATCTGACCAAGTTCAAAAAAAAATTAAATCGGGTCAGATCTGACTTGGATCAAATTAAACTAGGTTGGGTCAAAATACCTGGCCTATAAAATCAAGTTGAGTTGAGTCAGCACAAAAATTCAACCCGACCTGATCCATGCACACTCCTAGCTAGGTGCCATGACAGCCTCAAATAAGCCATCTGGTTCAATTACTTGTTAGAAAATTATATTTTCTAATAATTATTGTGGGTCACATATTATATTAATAATTATATTGTGCTATTTATATATATTGGGTAAATTAAAGTGATCAGTTAAATATTCCTAAATAGATTCCTAAGTGAGTATGGGCTGAATGAGTGGATACCAGTGTTGGGCCAACTAGGTATAATGGGAGCTTATTGGCCCAACAATAAAGATAAAAACACTATAAAGGGTTATGGTCCCCAAGACGTCAAATGACAACCCTAGTTTCTCTTCTCCATCAAGAGAGAGACGACACACTAAGGAATTCAATTTTAGGGTGATTTGACTGAGGAAGACTACAAACCCCAAGAGACAAGATCAAAGTTATTCCGCTGCAATGGAGACAGGTATGCCTCCACCTTTATGTAATTATTTCTTTATGATTTGGTATGATGGATCTTGGCTTGTAGGTGATAGTTATCACCAAAAGGTTTAGAGGAATTAAAAATTCCAACAATTGGTATCAGAGCCATCGTCATATTGAATTATGAGGGAGTTAAGTTTTGTGATTTTTATATATGATTAATCATGAAGAGTTTTGCTTTATTGTCTTTTGGCATAAAGTTTATTATTTTTTGAACGTGGGTTCCATCTTATGTATTTTGTATTAGCTATGTAGTGTTATTTTTGTTCCCTGACGGTGATTTTTTGGTTTTGGAACAAAAGCAACATTTTTTAGAAAAAACTAGGATTCACAGTTTAATAAGGGTTTATTATTTAAATTTTGAATCTGTGAATAGATGGAATGTTTGGAAGAATTTTGGCTTTATAATCGATGAGGTTTTGTTGTTTGAATTTTTTGAATAAACAATGAATTCTCTTAGAAAATTTTGGACTTACGGTTTGAAAGAAATCAAATGTTTAAGGTCTTTGGTTTTGGGGTTTTCCTTATATTTGATATTCTTTGTTAAAAGCTAAATATAATTTTTTTTTTATGGATATTATGCATCATTAATTTTTAAGCCTTATAATGAAAAGGTATTTATTGTATGCATCATTTTCAAGCTTTCATTTGAAAAGGCTTACATGTGCGTTGTTTGTGCATCATTTTTAAGCCTTATAATGAATAGATATTTATTGTTAATGGTATAATGATATAGTCTGTATGTATATACATTGAGGATTGATAAAGAATAATTTTCTTTATTGTTGTTATTTTGTTTTTAAATGAGTTTATTATCCCTAAAGGTTTCTATTTGAAATTAAATATGATAGATTTGTTAGCCGCCACAGTGGCCAAATTTATAAAAGGTTAATTTGATTTCAAATAGGTTGGTCATATAAATATATTTTATTTATGCAAATATTAATCGGCCCACAGGAAGGTTATTGTTTGGCCAAATAACATATGTTGTGTGATCATGTGTGTGTTTATTGCTTATGCGGATAGTGATCGGCCCACAGGAAGGTTATTATTTGGCCAAGTAACAAACATACCTGTGGTAATAAATATGTGACAATTATCAAGAATTCTCCATGTAATTCATAGTCGGCCCACAGGAAGGCTATGATTTGACAGGACTTATTGTCAATGTTTGATTACTACATTAAGAGTACCACTTACAAGTTGATATTTTTGTCCACAGACTAAATATTAATGTTGTGCTAGGTATCTTATAATAAACTCATTTTACTTCGGATTATTTGTCTATATCGTGTATGAATATATATGATATGACATGTTATTAGTATGTTATCTTTTTTGGTTCTCTGTATAGTTTCTGCTACCGCTGCCAATTATGTTGCTCAAATGAATATGCTTCCAATGCTTAATGGGGCAAATTTCAAGCTGTGGAAAGAGAATGTGGAAATTGTTCTCGGCTGCATGGATCTCGACAATGCGCTAAGGACTGAGAAACCCACTTCCACTCAGGAAAATCCAAACACGGATAAAATTGAGAAGTGGGAACGCTCAAATCGCATGTGTCTGATGATCATGAAACGTTCCGTTCCGGAGGCGTTTAGGGGCTCGATTGTTGAGACTACTGATGCCAAGTTGTTTCTGAAGGAACTCGAGCAATACTTTGCTCGAAATGAAAAGGCTGAAATTGGTCAAACCTTGTCCAAACTCATAAACATGAGGTATAAAGGAAAGGGAAACATAAGGGAGTACATTATGGAAATGTCTAATCTTGCCGGAAAACTAAAGGCATTAAAGTTAGAGCTGCCCTCTGAGTTGCTCATGTACTTAGTTATTATCTCTCTTCCTGCACAATACGGTCAATTTGTGGTGAGTTATAACACTCAAAAGGAAAAATGGACTCTTAATGAGCTCATTTCTCACTGCGTGCAAGAGGAAGAGAGGTTACAGCGAGAGAAGACTGATAGTGCTCACTTGGCATCAACCTCTCAAGACAAGAAAAGAAAGAGAGCTAAGGATAATGCAGATGCTTTGCCAAAGAAGCAAAAGAAGCAGGACCAGGAATTCACCTGCTTCTTTTGTAAGAAATCTGGACACATGAAGAAAGAGTGTTCCAAATACAAGGCATGGCACGAAAAGAAGGGTATGACTCTCACTTTAGTTTGTTGGTACTGGTTCTGTGGCACAAGCGTTTAGGTAATATCTCTAAACAGAGAATTCAGAGGCTTGTGACTGATGGAATTCTTGAACCCCTTGATCTGGATGATTTTGAGGTGTGCATTGAATGCATAAAGGGGAAACAGACAAACATAAGGAAAATAGGTTCCAACAGAGCTTCAGACGTCTTAGAATTGATTCATACGGATATTTGTGGACCATTTCCTATAGCCTCTTGGAATGGTCAACAATACTTTATCACATTCATAGACGACTATTCAAGATTTGGATACCTATATTTGATTAGAGAGAAGTCACAATCATTGGATGTGTTCAAAGAATTTAAAGCTGAAGTTGAACTTCAGTTAGGCAAGAAAATTAAGGCCATTAGATCTGATCGTGGTGGTGAATACTATGGTAGATCTGATGGATCAGGTGAACAACGTCCAGGGCCCTTTGCGATCTTCCTAAAGGAGTGTGGAATCGTCCCGCAATACACAATGCCAGGTAAACCTAGCATGAATGGTGTTGCGGAAAGGCGAAA